TTACCTTCTGCAGGCTCTGCGATCTCTAACTTTGGGCATTCAGCTTTCCAGATGTGCATGACTGCTTTACAAAAAACATACGTGTATTCCGTAGGAATCCTACGATTGCACCTCTAGACTGGCGACCGCTCGCGCCCAGTCACCTGGGAGTGCTGCTGACAACCGACGGATATAATCGCTGAGCGGCGCCATCACCGTTTCTCGTCACACTTCTCGGCTCGCGACGCGCGGCACAGCAAGAAACGTCGGTGTTTGAAGCCACGGCCTTGAAAAAGCTAAACTAAAATTGCCATGCTGCCGTCCGTAGACTGTCCTTCTTGAGGACTCATTCAACACTTCTTCCGCTCTCAAACTTCAATTTCACGGCCATCGCTGAGGTTCACCTCTTTGTGGCTAACGTAGTTCTTGGACGCATTAATCGTGGGTGAGGGAACTAATGAGGTAACATACTAATCATCCTCAGGTAAACGAAAAACAACAAAATAGGCTATCGCATTGTTTTTCATCCTCAGCCATAATATCCACGATTAGTCATGTCTCGAAAGTAGCTTGCGTGAGAGTTATCTACCATGCTCTAATGGAAATCCCTCATTTATTTGTGAGCTGATAAACCTCGCACTTACTTACACAAGTGAGCAAGCGCGATTTCTCAATGGCTTCCTAAATGAGATACTTTACAAGTGAGATTGTTTCGCATAGTCCTTCTTACGCGCGACGTCTCGTTCATCCACATCATAATAGATCTCGCGCGTCGAAGGTCATGAGACCGGACAAGATCCTGCCATTACACACTCTTACTAATTCATTTTCCTTCCAAATCCCTCCCATTTTCTTTCATATCAGTAGGTTTCTCTTGGCAATGCGAAGAGTCCTCTTCGCAAGTTTGATTCGCTTGGGACCCTCACACGCGACATTCATCACCTTGGCACCGCAGCTGGGTACGGACACAATACGAAGTGATACGATTCGTCTCGCCGCGCGGCGCGGCCGCAATCTCAGCCTGTCCGATTGATCGACGAATGCAAAGCACATCCGTACAATCGGAGGAAACCGCGGTGCGGTCTCAGGCTGGTGAAACTTCTAGCAGAAGGGACTTTGCGGGTCGGGGAGAAAGGACGCGGTACGCGGCGGCGATCGCCGCTGTACAATCTCTGCGATATATAACGCGACATGTCCTTTCAGAAGCGGCGATTGTGGCGGAGGGGGCGGTGGCGGTTCTGGTGGCAGCTGCTGATGGACGAGAAGGCAGGGAGACCGGTGACGAGGCGGTGGGGGTGCTTTGGCGATGCTGTGCGGGTCGAAGGAGGGAATGAGGGGAGATCGGGGGAGAGCGGACGGGCGGTGCGGTGCTGGGTGGAGCTGGTGAGGTTCGGGTCGGAGAAGGGGAAGGAGAATGCGGTATCGGTGTTCTTGGGTTGTGCAGGGACGCGGGAGGAGACGTGATGGGGAGGTAGGTTGATGGTGAACCCGAGGGAGTGTTCCTGCGTTGAGGAGTTTTGGCGGCGGAGGGTCGCCGGGCGAGGAGGAAGGCGGAGGCGCTGCTGCAGTTGGGCTGAATAGGAGGGGAGTAGGAGAAGGGAGGGGGAGAGAGGTAGAGGGGTGGGAAAGAGGTTTGGTGTTGGCTCTCAGTCTGGCAGCATGGCTAGCGCGCTGCTGGGGGGGCGTGCGCGGCGGCGGCGTATGATGGTAAGAGGTATGGAGAGGTTGGTTGGTTGGTTGGTTACTTTGTGTGCAATTTGTAAATGAGATCATGAGAATTTGAGACGGTCACAATTACCTCCACATGATTCAGAAATTGTGACCGAATCATGTCGGGGTAATTATAAAAGTTTTTGGGAAGAGAATGGAGATTTGAACAATGTACATGTTTGTATTGATGTTGAAAAAAAATCAAACAATAATTAATCTCATGCTAATCCTCAATCTTATTCTCCACGCATCATGATTCAGGCATGGTCAATCAAAATCTCTTACGCTCAGACAGTTCAGAATCGTAAGCCAACTAGTTTGTCCAATTTCTTCCGATTTAATCCTGCCAATTTTTGCAGAGAAAGGTCAGTCATGAGAAGGACGTCACATCTAAAGTTCTAACCAAGCAGTGGATGATCAAAGAAGACCAAATAAAAAAAATGGGTCGGTTTTAAAAATAAAAAAAAAATAAAATGAGGCTGATTTGAAAAATTATTCTTAATTAATCTATTAAAACTCGCAACCACATCACGTGCACCCTGCATTTTGCTGCCTCGCTGATACGTGTAGCCGAAGCAATTAGAAGTTTTGAATTTATCTTTTGATTTAGGAGGATATTAAACCCCAATTAGAAGCCTTAAATCCTAAAATTTTATATCCTAAATAGTCGGGGTTGACAACCTTGACAGTTTAGGAGGGTGATCAGGCTGACGTGGCAAAAAACGGGTCAGTTTTGGTAAATAAAAAAAATGGGTCGATTTTAAAAATAAAAAAATAAATAAAATAAGGCTGTTTTAAAAAATTGTTCATTAATTAAACCTGGATCATGTTTCAAATCAACTAATCAGTGGCCTCGATGCTGAGCTCAATTTATTTCACTGAAAAGGTCAGACCAAATGATTCCCTTAAAAACAATTATTGACTTTCATAACATTGATTTACTAACCGATAGAGGTAGTTAAGCAAGCAAGACGTGATACTAAAGAACAGTTAGAGACAGGAGAAAAAAGATGGGAAAATTTTATTATATGGCTTCACAAATCACAAGGTCTAGTGAGTGGGAAAGATTATAAATGATTATAAATGTAATAACAAAGTACAAAAATCTGGTTGTAACTTTTACACATTTGTTTGGTGCATCAGATGTTACAAAAATAATTCATCCTTCACAAAAACAAGGTATCATTAATTTGCTGGTAAGCATTTTTTTCCATAAAAACAAGCATCTTTCAACTTATTTGCAAAGTCTGTACTCTTTTACAAATTAGAAGACCAGTTGTAACTGCAATTTCTCAGATCAAACTGCTCCTATTCACACTTGAGGATGATTATTTTATCAGATATATCGTTACAGTAGTGAAAACAAAATATTGTATAATCTGCCTAATTCTCATGTTTGAACGTTGACTTTCTGCTTTTTATTGCAGATAAGATAATTTATAACTATTAATATTTTTTTTCGGTTTTTTATATTGCTGACGTTGTCACACACTTATAGTATTACACTAAGACGCAACCTAACAGATGACTTATTTTGTTGTAATAAAGGTGGAGAATTAGGTTCATCCACTTTTTCCTCCAGAGTTCATAACCTCGGCTGTCGACCAATTATTATTTAGAATATTGATTTATTTCAAATCAAATCGAACTATGTCAAATTTCTGGGTATGCCACAAATTTGCATACAAATATTTCAAAAAAAATAAATAAATAAATAACTACTACAACCATTCACTCCTCAAGCAACGTAGAGCACTTTTATTAAAGCATATTTGTGCAAATATTTGAATACAAATATCAAATTATCAAAATATCAGTGCATACATGAAATCTTCCGTAGAATAAGAATAAGAATCAGTATCAGAGACAGCTTCCTTGCTTCATCCCAAACTATGACCCCGGATAGGTCAGCTGAAAATAGATGAACACTGTAAGCAGAACATAAAAGTGGAAAATTCGCAATAGGAATGGAGATAAGAAAGAACCTGGATCCTTCAGCTGGGACTTTCATCATGTATGTAGAATGTTATAAATCCGTTAGGAGCTGTATGGATGATAAAATAGTTTTATAATGTACAATACAAATTACACGAGGAAATTACACAATGAATGAGGAACAAATGAGGATTTGTCAATATTACAACACTACTATGCACAAAGTACATTCTGGATGCTGAACTTCGGTTCAACGATGAAGAATGAAAGAAACTGGAGGTAGAAAGGTTCTCTTCATAGAAATCTGTAAGCCGTGGTATAGAAAAGGGATATTAGCGTTACAGAATACACTACAGCTCCACCATTTCTAGGTGAATATGTGTGCCCTTAATATTGTACTTCCAGAACCAACTTCCCCTGTCCATCATCTCCTCTCTTATAGGATCTAACTTAACAGCAAAACCTGGATTAAGAATCAAGTCATGAAGTTAGCTTAGAATCCTCTCTTATAGGATCTAACTTAACAGCAAAACCTGGATTAAGAATCAAGTCATGAAGTTAGCTTAGAATAAACGAGGAACATCCAATTTATTGTAAGTGAACCTGGATTAAGAATCAAGTCATGAAGTTAGCTTAGAATAAACGAGGAACATCCAATTTATTGTAAGTGCTAAAACTTAAAAGTCAGTTTTCTAATGAAAACTGATCTTGTTCGATATTTTGTACTCTTGAAGTATAGAAAGAAACAACAAGTTCTTCTGTTCAATAACTTCTTTATTATCATCCTAAGTCCTTTGCCACTAGAAACTGCTCAAACATGCTCAAAATTGAGAAACTCCAGAGCATAATAGCCCAATATTTACAACCTGATGTCAATTCATACTGCGTGGATAACAAGTGGATCTTTGATTCATGATAAAAAGTTTGTGAAAGAAATAAGATGTAATTCTCCACCTACCTACTGACCTTTTATGTTTCCAGTACAATTTTGGAAGTTTCCTTAGCAATGATTTCCGTACTACAGAAGCTTGACAACAGGATCCAATTTGATGGTAATAGTGCAACTATAATGTCATTATCATAGAGGGTCTATATGTAACACTGTACAATCTTCATATACATACAGGAATCAGCTTCTGTGCTAGGGTAAGCCGAACCCTATTCAGCCGACTATCTTCCTCTCTCTCTCTCCTTAATACTTTCTCATGGTATCAGAGCAGGTCTGAAACCCTAGCAATCTATTTTTGAAGACTCATGTCGTCATCATCTTCGAGTTCAACAGCGACCTCGACCTCGACCATGACCTCAACTTCCTCTTCGAGTTTAATAGGGAATCTAACCTCAACAATCCCTGTCTTTGACACTTCCTCTGATCTCGACACTCCCTATGTCCTCTTTGGGTCAACAACATTCCCAATCTCATATGCCTTTTCCGAGATCCCAAATCCAATGACGACATCAATTCCTATGTCGAAACCTACTACACCTTCAATTGGCGAATCACATCCCCTATTCTCTATTTTGCAACAACAGTACACGTTCTCGACATCCACAGCATCCGTTTGGATCCAACTGCAACCAGTGATAACTCGTGCCTTGTTCCCGACGGTCACACAACCAATGGGAATCGATCAAATAGTTTTGAGGCTACATGGATTGAATTTATCAGATGGTTTGGATGCTAATATGCTTAACACGGTGGACTTATTCCCTTGCTACCCACTTCAAGCTCTTTCTTTCCTTTGGCTTTGACAGTGCCGAATGTGACAAATCTCGTCACGATGAAATTAACAACTGTTGAAGACTATTTAACTTGAAAGACGTAGTTCACCGCGTCATTGATTTCTCATAATTTACTTGGATTTGTTGATGGATCGTGTCCTCCGCAGATGTATACTGACGGTGCTCAACTCAATCCTCATTACATGCCGCGGATTCCGATAGATCAAAGCCTTCGCTCATGGCTATTTGCTACTGTCTCGAGAAGTTTTAGTTGAAGTTCATGATCTTGCACACTCTTTTCAGATTTAGGATCGCCTATAACGTCGCTTCTTTACGAGCAATCTTGCTCGCATTATGGAATTGAAACGCAGCATTACCGCTACCAATAAGGGTGACAATCAATCCATGGAGGTCTACTTACGCGAGATCAAAGTTGTCGTGGACTCACTTGCTGTGATAAATTTTCCTTTTGAGTGATCATGAACTTGTGCAACACACTCTTCTTGGATTGAATAGTGATTATGAATCCCTCGTTATGAAGGTGACCTATTTTGGCAACACTATAATCTTTGATGACCTCCATTCTAAGTTAATTCCCCATGAACAATGCGTTCGCTATTTGAAAGAGCGAAATCTCAATGTCCGTTAGCATCAAGCCCTTGTCGCCAGCGTCACCACATCAGGTGGTGGTTTGGGTTCTACAGTTGCTGTCATGCCGAGCATTGTTATAAATAACGGTAAATAACATCGCAATAGCGGCGTAATAGCGTTAGTGGTCCCTTCCCGCTACGCTATCACCTAATAGCAGTGACATTGTGAAAAGTACGCTTTCCGCTCGTAACAACGGCCAATAGTGTGCTATAGCATTGAATAGCGAGTGATTGCTTGCAAAATCTACTATTTAAAAGCGGTTTAAGGTTAACTTTTTTAAAATTAAACCTAACCGACAACTACTGCATCCCGCCGCCTCTCGCAATTTTTGATGTATTCCCGTCGCCTCCCACAACCTTTAGCCCCTCCCTTAACATTCCTCTCACCTCCTCTTACCGTGAGCTCCTCCTACTACAGTCCTCTCACCACTCAGTCGTCTTTGGTATTATGTGACGGTTACGTATCTTTTTATTTTAGGATCTCTTTAAATCATTAAATATGCACTTTTAGATTTTCTAGATTTTTTTTTTTTTGCATATTTCTACATATCTAAATTAGACTGTTATTTGACTTTACGCAATTTACGCAATTTGCACAATTTACTACTATTTTGCCGTAATAGCTCCAAATAACCTTAGCGATGCCTCACCGCTATGCGACACTATCCGTTATCGATAACCTTGCTGTCGAGTTAGACTCGCCTCCAGGCGAGTATCTAGCAGTAGCAGCCACCCTCGGGAGGCTGGCGCGGACATGGACAGTGGCATGGTTCTGTTTGATAAATGGAAAAACTTGGTTGGTTGTAAGTGGGTTTATAAGGTTAAATATAAATCAGATGGTTCTATTGAGTGGTACAGAGCTCGTTTTCACCCGCAAACTGGTATCGATTTTCACGAAACTTTCAACCCTGTTGTTAAACCTACTACTATTCGTCTTGTACTCTCGTTAGCTATTTCATTTGGTTGGGTTACCAGTCAACTCGATTTTAAAAATGCTTTTATGCATGGTCTTCTTATCGAGGTGTACATGAAGCAACTTCTCGGCTTTGTTCATCCGTAGTTTCCAACTCATGTTTGCAAACTTAATAAGGAGATTTATGGCCTCAAACAGGCTCCCCATGTTTGGTTTCAGCGCTTTAGCAGTTCTCTTCTATCCCTTGGCTTCCAATGCAGCAAATTTGATTCCTCCATGTTTGTTCATAGTTGAGGTTCTGATATTATTATCCTTCTTCTATATGTTGATGACATTGTTCTCACAGGAAACTCATCTACTCTCATTCATCGCTTTATTTGCTTATTATCAGATCAATTTGCTATGAAAGATCTTGGTGATATTCATTAGTATTTTTTGGTGTTCGCGTCACTTATACCCTTGATATTCTATTCTTATCTCAACATAAATATGTTCAGGACCTCTTACGTAAATTTCATCTTCGTACTCTTACTGCCCTATGTAGCCTGATTGCAGCTAAAACTAATTTATCCCTTGTTGATTGAGTTATTAGCAAATTCCTCTGTACATAGGAACATGGTCGGTGCTTTACAATATCTTACAACTACAATGCTTGATATTGTATTTGATGTTCATGTTGTTTCTTAATTTATGCATGCTCATCGTACTACTCATCTCCTAGTCGTCAAAAGAATTTACAGGTACTTGCAGGGCACAGCAGATCATGGTCCCTTACTTCGCAAGGCTATCCAACTGACCCTTCTGGTTGCCTATTCTGATGCTGATTGGGCAGGTTCTCCTAACAGTTCACGCTCCACCTCCGCTTATGTGGTATTTTTGGCCCTAATCTCATTTCTTGGCACTCAAAGAAACAACCTACCATGTTGAAGTCCTCAACGGAGGCTGAATATCAAGCCCTTGCATACATATTGGCTGAGACACTAAGGATTTGGCACATCTTAGTTGAACTTGGGATTGTTCTTCAACATCCTGTGACTCTTTTTTGTAACAATATTGGTACCACCTACATCACGGCAAATCCTGTGCTACATGATCGCAGCAAGCATATCAAGGTCGACTATCACTTTGTTGGGGAGAGTTGCTCATGGTGATTTGGTTGTTCGATATGTTCCCACACAGCTTCAGCTTGCGGATGTTTTTACTAGGGGATTATCTGCTCTACGCTTTCTCTTTTTAAAGACCAATCTGTTCGTGTGAGTTCCTCCTGTCCAGATTGAGAGGGGGTAATAGTGCAACTGTAATATATCATTTTCATAGAGGGGCTACATGTAAAATTGTACAATATTTTCATATATATATATATATACAGGTATCGGTTTGTGTGCTAGAGTAAACTGAACCCTATCCCCCCCCCCCAAACCCCCAATACTTTCTCAGATGGAAACTGACTCATAGATGATGAAACATAGAAAAGATTTTGCACAGAAGACACATTTTATCAAGTTCCGTCAGTAAGCCACTTGACCAAAGAGCATTATGTCATACCTGGATTATCTGAGATGATACGCATTCTATAACCATTTGGAACCTCAAATGAATGATTTCCCTGAAACAATAAATTATAGTGCGAATGAGAGTGTGAGAGGATGTTTGGGGAGCAGAAATAATATTCTACTGAAGCAGAATCTACATTGTCGCAACTAGATGTTTATAAGAAAATGGTTTGCCTGAATTCAGTAAGAAAATAAATTATGTTGAAGCTTAGAAGAATAACTCCACCTGTAATACTACATCTGTTGCCTCAAATTCTGCATTTCCTTGCAAAACAATCTTCAAATTCTCAAACCTCTGAACTACATGTTTCCAATAGACATTGTCATCAGCCATCCAGTTTACTCCTTTATTCGTGACCTTGACATTCTGCAACTTGCATCTCCCACATCTTCCACCAGTTTGCGAGTAAAATTTTCAATTTAAATTGTTCAAATTTGCAATGATACACCTTCTGAAATATTTTCACATGCACATTACCTGTGACCATAGTGCAGTATAGGTTCACCCTTTTCATTTTCCCTCATAGAACCCATCACATTTTCAGCAACAATAGTAAGGCTACCATTAAGCTGAAGTTCCAGAATTGTGAATATTCTGTTATGAATAATAATTACAGACAAACAGAAAGCAAGGAAGGACTAAGAAATACTACCTGCACATCTTTCCATAAGAACTCTGCCACTTCAATTTGTAATTCAGACCCTGCTGAAATAGAGCCACCAGAGAACTGCAGAAATTTTAATTTGAGACGCTACATATAATAACAGCACACTTCAACTACCCAATTACATAGCTATAGCTTGTTTGAAAGTAAAACTACGTTCAAACAAAATTTAGATATGCTATCAATTCAGGTATGCTATCCCATAGGCCCTCTTGTGATGCCAATCTTCCTACGTATATTTTACTCTATTTTTCATCCTCCAAAAGTATGTCAACTATATGATAGAAGGGACCAATAACCCTTTAAATGTATTGATTAAAAAACGCGTCCTTCCTAGATGCATTAATCTGTTTTAATTTTACACACTACGGTTACTACCATACCATAAAAAAGTAGGTACTTGCTAACCAAACATATAAACAGTGGCATCTGAAGAAACAATTCTCATGATACACTGCCAAGAACTAATCAATAATATTGACCGACACGTGCATACCTTTTGTCTAGCAACCTCCCAAACTGGACCCAAAGCGGGATGAAGAAGAATGATGAATGGTGGTCCAGAATTGAAATATTTGATATTCTCTTCAATCTAACATAGTTCCTCAAAAATCAGTGTACTGAAATTTGCACACAAAATACAAAAGCAATATAAAAGAACAAGGAGCTGTGAGCTTTCAATGCTAGACTATTGAAGCAATAATCAAATCTACCAAACTTGTACAGAAAACATGTTTTTTATGATATTTCTATAGGGAGATTAGTTAAAGTAGAACATATTCATGATGCTTTGGTTTTCCCATAATGCTTGACTACTAACTTAAAGGAAATGTATAAAAAAACAAAGACAAATGTGAGTCTGCTAAAACCCATGTTACAAGCTTTATCAGGTTTAGATTTCAATAACTATTATAGGATAAAAGAAAATACCTTAGGAATTGCTATATCACATTGTGAAAGAAGATCTGAGGCATTCCGCATAACATCCAGCAGAGAACCATCAGGTGTCTGTATCATGAATAGAAATAGGACATGTTAAAAGTATTGAATTCATCAAAAATATTAGTCATACCCACAACAAAATAAAAGTTCATAATTATGGCAAGACCAATCTATGCCACTAGGAACGTGCTGGAATATATCATTGTATTTTGTGTCAGAGATCAAAGACACATGCCACTGCAAAATAGCAAAACTCTTAAGTCAAGCTCTAAGAAGAAGATGAGGGAGGGAGGGAGGGTGTCTAGGTCAGGGTGGAGAGCAAATTTCCTCCTACAAATACTCGTAAGCATGCTCTGTTTATGTAATACCCACTGACCCACCCACCAAAGAAAGCTTTGTATCAATAAACTTCTACAAAATTTTATCTGCAGTAGAATAATGACTCTCACGTGCCTGGTGTAATGACTTGTCTTTCGGTTTCCTCTTCCTTTTAGCAGACGATGTAACCCTTTTCCTTTCATTGTACACCATAAATGTGTCCAGTGAGCCTGTGAGCAGATCCATGTCAAAAATAAAACCAAAGAAAATGAGAAAAACCAAATAATCTAGAAAATCAAGAAAAGAACCAAGATCATACTTTCTATGTCTTTATTGCACCTTGAGGCGTATGTACTTAGAAAATTATCTGCAATATTCTGCATTGTGCACTCCAGTCTGCCACCATACAAACTGCAACATGAAAAATAAGGCTTCTAATACAGCACAGAAGACAATGTCAGCAACAAGGACATACATTTAAAACCCCATAAATTTGAACATATTGTGATAAATAATAATAAATATGTTATATGGTGGTAAATAATACATTTTGATGCTTGAGTATGCTAGGGATTGATTTGAGATCAATCCAACATATATATGTGAATATAGGAGTGAAATCATGCACGAGCCTGAATCTGGAAAAATGAACAGTTAAGAGTATTTATTTTTTACACAGATACAGTTCGAATATGGAAAAATGCAAAAAAACAAAAGTTGTAAGTATCTTCAACAGCTTTCCAACGCATCTTAAATCATCTCATTCCGAGGTCGGATGTGAAAGTTATAGCCAAAACATGCACGAAAACATGCACAAACCTGTTTCTGGATTGTTAGTAGTCGACTACTACTCAGAGTAGTCGATTAATCAGCTTAATAGTCGACTACTAAGAGTAGTAGTCGACTATCGGGGCTATTTTTAGTTTTTCTTTCATATTTCGGGTCGGATTCGTTTTATTTCGAACCCAGTTGTATATACGTGTATATATACTCGTTTTAAAGCCCTTTTTATCCTCTTTCACGTGAGTTTAACACCAGCCACCTTCCTCCTCAGAGCCTAACCCTAATTGTGAGTTGTGGGAGAGTTTTGAGGTGTTTGTTGAGGAGAAAGCTGAAAAGTGAGATCGTGGCTGAAGAGGATCTTACATACACGTGGTTGAGGAGTGCACCAGTACCCTAAGGCAAGATCATCTTCATCCTCTCCTGCACCCTTAATTATTAGATGATTTAAAGTGATTAAATCAATGTTCACATGCTTATTTCTTATTTTCATGAGATAAAAGTTAAATTTCGATAATAGATCTGTAACTCTTGTTAGATCTGATGTTTTTCCTTGCTGTTTATGTTAAAAATATGATCATGATAATTAGGATTAATATTAATTTGTTAATTGAGATTTACCTATGTGCAAACCCTAGTTTATTTAATTAATGGAGTTTTCTTGTAACCTAATCATGTAAAAATCTAGGTTTATGGTATATAGGTTCTGTAATTAAGTTTAACACGAATTTTTTCTCTCTTCATGTGTAGATCTTTTCATGCTTTTAATCATCATGTTGCCTATATGTAGTTAATTGAAGAGATTAGTTAATAAAGGTGTTAACTTTAAATTGAACCAAGTTAAGTCCATGTTTATGATCAAGTTAATCTCTATTTAATGTTATATATCGTTTAAATCTGGTTAAACATTGCATAAGTACATGTTTGATTTGTTAACGCCATGTATGTGCATACCTATATTTCAGTTGCATGCAGAGTAGTCGACTACTAAGATGAGTAGTCGACTACTCTGTCTCAAAATCTAGTATACAGAAACGTTTCCTTAGCAGAGTAGTCGACTAATCATGTGTGTAGTCGACTACTCCCTTCCTGATGCAACTCACAGAATCTGTTTCATAGCAGAGTAGTCGACTAATACTCATAGTAGTCGACTACTCACACTTAGTTAAATTTTCCAGGTTCGGGATGAACTTAGAGTAGTCGACTACTCAGTCTAGTGGTCGACTACTAAGGCTGATTATCCTGATTTTGTTTTGTTTTTGTTTGAGATGTGTTTGCGGGGTTCAAGCCGCGCTTCTATACATGTAAATTCATGAATACGCAAGTACAATGCCATTGCACACACATGAGTAACCCAAATGGGGTTTTGACAAGAATTGGGTTGTTTATAATAGAATAGTAATTGTTCATACACTCGTTGGATATCGTTAATGAGCACAACTCCGTACTATATGAGATAGTACATCGATATACCAGATATACACAGTTTATACATAAGATGGATATCGTTGATGAGCCCAGTTCAGTACTACATGAGGTAGTGCGTCGATATTCCATATGTACAGACCATTGAGTCGGGTTTGGATGCTTTGTATAGCAGTTCGTCCGTACGAGTGTGCGATGAGACTGGTAAGCTGTCTATTTATGATGATCGTGAGCCATCTATTTGGATACTTATATGGTAGGCCCGTCCCATACTCAGGCTACGTGCTGAGATCACGATGAGACTAATGAGCCATGTACAGTTCAGGATACCTACAGGGTAGTCTGTGACATTGATATTGCTGATTTATAGCCTAAGTTTTAGGCAGATATCAGTTGTGAGTTCAACTCATCTTCGAGATACTTTGCTCTTGAAAGTACACGAGATTATATGTTGATATTTATTTTATCTTCCCGGTGATTGTGAAAGATATTATAAATACGATGTAATAATGTTTTTATATTTTTTAACTGTTTTCTTTACTTGTTAGTTGGGATCAATGATTAGTGATTCACAATTTAAGACATATGATATATATATGAGGGTTTTCTTGTTTGGATTATTTCGTTCGACGTACCAGTCTCGTGTTGTGGATTTATAATTGTTGATTTTATTAGATTGTCTATTCTTAGTTCGGTATTAATATTTAGTTATCTATAATTTGATACAATGGTATATACATGAGGATTTTTTTGTTTGGATTATTTCGCTCGACGTACTACGTCTCGTATTGTAGGTTTCTAAATGTTAATTCCACTTAGATACAGGAAAAATAATCTACATAGACTATGCTTATAGATAGAGCCTTCACTCCATCTAGTAACCCTTCCCCTGGGGGCGGATGAAGATGATCTTGCTGTAGCGTTCTGACGCTCTTTATGTGGTTCTTTTTTTTGTTCTTCTTTTCTTTCAGGCGGTACAGAGGTACGAAGAGCCATAAGATGACGAAGTTCTTGCATAGTCGCCGTCACATGAGTATTAGTAGAGGCTCCACAGTAGATTCTTTTACATTTTTATGCAGACATTAGTATTTCATTTCCATATTTTAAAGGCAGTGTGCCTTAGTACAATATTTATTTGATTCATGATGAGATATTTATTTATCTTAGACAGTAGATGTATTTCTGTTGAGACATGATTTTTATTTATGAGATATCTCCTTCTTTATCATGTCTATCGTGTTCAGTTCTTTATTTTGCCTGTTTTGTACATGCACTTTTCTTTGATTCCACTAGAGGATACTACTATGATTGGTGAAACGTGTTTATGTACAAGTGTGGGTGCATTGCAGGTTTGACATCTCTGGACTCACCTTAGAGTACAGCCTTGTGTGAAACCAAGGGCGTCACAATACAAACCTCTAAGTACATCTTATATAAAACAGGCAAAAATCATCTCAACTTTTGATATGAATCCGACACCCAGCGAACAACAGTGAGATGCAAAAATACTTAATGAGAAGCATAGTTAATGTTGAATTGTACTGTGCATCAAGTACACAGGTGAAATTCCCACCCATATCACTAGCACTTTTAAAATGATGGCAAAAATAATGAGATACGAAACATTTAATACAAACTAGTGACTAAAAACACATACCTATGAGACATTCCAAGATCATCCACAAAGGAAACTGCCTTTTTTAAATTCAGTACCATACCAGGTAAACAGGTGCTATTATGACTGGATCCAACTTTTTCAGCAGAACGTAAATCAACATAGAGGATATTTGTATTGGCAGGAAACTCTGCCTGCAGGCTAAAACACAACAATGAACAAATTCAAGAAAGAAGAAAGTAACAACAACAGGGGCCATATTTGTTTTTGAAAGAAATCTGGGAGTTAGAAGTTGAACTTTCAGCATGAAGTAACAAGTGTACTGCAGAAAGCATACAATTTCGTTCTACGAATAAAATACTAAAACAAAATCTTGAACAAGAAAAATGTTTACTTTTCAATTTATTCAGAAAGTCAGTAAACAATATAGAATTGATTGTTTTCTGCATCATCTCCTATATGTGTCAACATGTGAAACTAGCCTGATCATCACGCAGGAGGTATTGATAAAGATATAAAAAAATCATTAACATAAAAAGCACAAATTGTGTACTGGAATTAACGATAAACTGATGCAAATCAACTTTTTAATTGAACCCATTTGACTTTATGACCAGATGCCAATTGAGAGGGGAAAATACATAGATATAACTCAGCAACACTCATCTGAGGAATTTCCTAAAATAAAAACTTAAACTGATATAAAATTTGATTTTAAAGAGGTGTTTTTCTACATACAGGCCACAACCATATTTATAAATAATGATTACAGTTATAATATAACACAATAGTTAACAATCTTAGAAAGAAACAATAGAGAGGTAGCTTGGGAAATAATGTTCTTTATCACTCATTTAACGGAAATTAAATCAGTAAAAATATGTGCTATGGTTAAGACTTATGATACACATAGTAAATCCTTAGTGCCTTAGTGACACAACACCCAAGTTTGGTAAGCTAGTGAGAGATTTGTCCACATTTGGTAGGAGTTGAACGAAAGATCACTTGGTTCATGTTCACATCGTTGACGCTTAAACTTGAAACCTTACCCTATTAATCCTGCCTATTAAAAGCTCACTGTTACATGCTTCTTTTCTATTCATACAGAGTATCCTAATGAAATCAACTAAAAGCAAGAAAATTTTTGATGAAACATCCACGCCTGCTGAAAGCAATTTTGTTTCTTATATGTTTTAACTTCCTCCTTTCAAGTTCATAGAAGCATATTCACACCACTACAGTTATTCATTGAATGATGGAATCGACATACTGATAATGTGAAGAACTAGTTAAAAAGTTTAGAAAAAAGTTCATAAAGCTAAATATTAGGTAAAGAAAACACCTGCTTAGATTAATGTCAGACCCAAGCAGATTGCAGCGTACCTGTCGTGAGAAGCAGATGAATCTGTAATGCCAAACTTCTCAAACTCAGTGTATTCAATACATGTAAGCCCATATGCCCATTGCCCATTAAGCATCTGTTTCTCAATAAGAACATTAATGCCTTCAGTAGCACCAGAGTTTCTCTGGCAGGATGCGAACCCCAGCTTCTGCAAGTTTTAGAACACAGAATGTATGTTTTGAATCCAAAAAAAATAAAAATAAAAAATAAGAAAAAACTTCTAGAGATAATAGCAAATTATAAATTATGATATGTAAATTAATAATCTATTTCAACGATATACTCAACTGAACCATGCTATGGTTCTTTTAAAAAAATAATATATAGAAGTGGGGAAATTTTGCAAATTTAAAAAGACCCATTGCAGCAAAAGAAATGTCCATGGCCACTAAAGATCATCACTCACCATATTTCAATAGGAAACGAGTCCATAGCAAAATACATCCCCTTGCAATTCTAAAAATATACGCCCCTTTGACAAGCGACCAAGTGCTATCAAGCGAGAGCGAATTTTCCAACTGATAAAGTCATGGGGCTTGATTATACTAAAATTTTAAAAATAAAACATAGGAAAGGACATGTGCATCTTGGTTTCCACTCCATCCCACTGTCTTGGACATGGAACAGTGAACTTTATTCTCTGGACCAACGCTTCCAGCATCTATATTGGAAGACCACAGGATTATGCCTTGCGTCCAGTTTCAAAGTAAACTGGAGGAGATAAGAGAAAAGGATCAATCTTAAAATCCAGATCAGTAGACAAATCTTATAGTTATAGAGCTCCTAAATGGAGGTAAAACTAAAAGGGCAGTTTATTTTAAGTCTGTGGCTACACTGATGAAACTTACCTTATCCAAATACCACAGGTAGCTCTAGGCCTAAACTTATTCTGGGAGTTAATCGTCCTCCAGGTTAATGTGCATCTTTCCCGATTGGAGCAAATCAGGTGAAGAAACACAATTTAACAGACCAGGCTTTGTGTTCTCATTCTTCATTCAAAATGGTCAATACATTACCTGCACCTAATTTTGGAAGTGATGGCTCAAAACAGCAGAGAAGTCAGACTCTCATACCCAATCCCAAACATCAAAGATGGAAATCAAGGTCCACATTTACTATTATATCAAATCAAAGATAGGTCTCTGAGTGAATAGGTACTGACATAACCCCGCCTGATAGCACATCTGAGAGAATTGTATGATAAAACAGAGATGGAGGCAGAGAAATGAGGAAAATAGTGGATATGGTACTAGAGAGTAGAGAAGGTAAAGAAAGATAATATGCTATTGTGGTATATTTTGCATATGTATCTGAAATAATGCAAGAAAACTGCTTATTAACAGGCTGCAAGTCTAGGTTACACTTTATCTCATAATTTGTTGATAAGTTGCACAAAGAACCAAAATATCATTAGCAAATATCGGCCGATAATACTATATTATCCCCGAGTTATCGATTTTGGGAGGTTTCCGATAGGATAAGTTGGAATTTAAATCGGTTATAATTTTTGGGGGGTTTATCGGTGATAATGCGGTGATAAAGGTGATTATCGGCCGATATTAGTGACTCTAAAGTTTGGAATTATCCGGCCACACTATTGGATTGTGATTTTGGGTAATGAACAGTTTTTGAGTGAACTTGAAACCTAATCGGACCCGTTCTTTACAATATAACTTAAAGCCGATTTTATAGGCCTAATCATTCGTTCTCTCTCCCCTCATTTATGTGCTTGTGCCCACTGCCCTAATCCTTTGATCTCCGTTTCTCTTTGGACTCCATTGACCTTGTCACTCACCTCTGTCGACTTTGATGCTCGCCTTTGCTCCTCTTCAGACTCCACTAACCTCAACACTCTCGACTTCGACCATTCGATGATGCTCTCTCATTGATGTCAACTTCATCGACTCAACGACTTCGACCGACACTGAGCTCTCTCCATCGACACCATCATCAACTGATTGACTCGACGACGTCGACCGACGCTGAGCTCTCCATTGATGTCGAGCTCTCTCCATCGACACCATCACCATCATTAATTGTGACTTCGACAGTTCGATTTGGACTCTCCATCGACACCACGCCCTCAACACAACTTCTGAAGTTGTAGCAATGGTTAATATTCACTATTTAGTTTGGTTTTTTCTCTGGTTATTTAGGGAAGATTTAGAGAATGAAAGAGGGGAGTTGGTGAGAGAGAGAAGAGAGGGAAAAAAAGAAATGGAAAAGAATAGAAAAGGAAGAGGAAAAAACAGACGATATATTGACTATTCTATTGTTTCATCGTGCGATCAAAAAGCAAGTTTCACTTTCTACAGTTGGTTAGTGATTCTAAACATGGTTATTTACGTTTCGGTATTTCATAAATATAGTTAGATTACATTTTGGGTATATATACATCATACGGTATATCACTTCGATAAATACTACTTATCCTCAATATATCCCCGATTTCTGCTATCCGATAAGAATTTTGGCCGTCCAATAAATCCCCAATAACCGATATTTAAAACCTTGATCATTAGAACTCATTAAGAATATAAAGGGAAACAAATTAAGATACATGCTATACCTTTCCATGGTGCAATCCAATTCCTGATAGTGCCAAAAGGGTCAAATCTGTTGCAGCAACAACGTTGCTGTGAAATCATTGACAGTAACCACAATTAAAGCATTAACTGTTGTAATCAATAAGCATATAGAAAGCTTTCCACGGCACTATAGCTTACTATCTAAATCAAAATTGGCAATACAAAGAAAAATTAACCTGACTTGTCGCACAGTAGCACCTTTTCTTCCGAGATTATAAAACCATTGGAATACGCCTTTGTCAAATGCTAGTTTCCAAATAGCACCATGCCCACCAGGTTTGCACAATGGGCAGAATGGCCTGTTTATTATCCACTGACCATCTTCAGCAGCGACAACTGGCACCAGAGGCTAGAGAGCAAGACGGCTAAAAAAATATCAATACAGTTCTAAGTATATGCTGCAAAGCATTGACTGCGAACAGAAGAATGAATAGACACTTAAATACCACACGGAAGCCTGTAATATAGTACCTGCTCAAAAAGATGAAGATTTTTTTGGCCTCTCCCAAACCATCCAAGTCTTTCACAGAGGGCTGTTATATGCTCATGATTGTTCTTTACTGAACTTGTCATGATCGCAACAGGGGTTATACACTGTTTTCCATAAATTTTGAAGTAGAGATATTCTCTGGCCTGGTACACAAAGAGATTAGTTAAGAACATCATTGATGATAGGTTAAAAAGGTGCAGGCAAAGGTCTGAAAACCACTCCCAATGAATCACAAGACAATTGGAAAGAATCAACAGGGGGGAAAATGTGATGTGTATGACATAAATGAATGCAAAATGCTTGAGACTATATGTAGACTTCTAGCTACATAAAAGAATGTTTAACCATGTTGCATATTTCTGTGTATACATGTAAAAATTCTTCCCTGTGTTCAGATACCTCCAAGTATTGATAATAAAATAAAATAAAAACTTCAAGTAGAATAAGATATGCAGTGAAAATATCAGTCATCATTATGCATGAGCACAAGTTAATGTCATAAGCAAAAATAGTTATGAAAGCCAACAGTAAGTTCAGAAGGCCCCATAGGAGACAAGATTTATGTCCACTAACTCTAAGACAGTCTGAAGCCTCCAGATTGATGATAACTTTATGGAACCTGGGAGGCTATTCAGCAGCTAACAACGTCTACTTGTAGTTCTACAAGTTCAAGTGATCGACTATGGTCAACATCTTCAACTTAAATTTCCATATTCTGGGGAGTCTGCATGAAGGGGGAAGATGGTACATTTTCTAAATGGAATTGCATCCATCTTCTACCTCAGCATAAGAAAAAGACCAAATGAAAATGCAATTTCAATCTAAACTCAGGATCACAAATATAATTAAAGTTATTAAACCAAACACCTATCCCATGAAACTTCGTGCCAAAACTACTTCAGCATCATAGCAAGATCATAAGGAATTTGGCATCAAATAAAGAATGCCAGAATGCAAGTAAGAAGACCTAGTAGTTTAGTTGCAAGCAACTAATCAAACGCCTCATGCACCTGGAAAGGATAAAGGCAAAAGGAGAAGAACCCTTGATAAGACAAAACCAATGTTGAAAATAACTATAATGCATTATATAACACTCTATCCTCTGTTAAGGTTTTAGGGGAAATTGCAAAAAAAAACGTACCGCATAACGTAGATTATTTTTTTTATACATTACTTAGTTATTTCTATTCATAATGACTTTCATAATTAATATCATCAAAATTGTCAAACATGTTTAGAGAACTGGAAGAGTTACAAGAGTCATGATTTAGAAGGCTTCATCTTTAATGAAAGGAGTTAGGATTTAGAAGCTGGAGAGGCGTTGGAGGTGGCAGGGGGTTAGGATTTTCTTTGTTGGAGAGAGGAGATATTGGAGCCAAGAAGGGGCCAGAGAGGAGCCTTGTCGTCAGTGGACATCGAGGACGAAAAGAGTCAGCGAGAGACTTCGTCTTTGTCGAAGGCACAAGAGGAAGAAGAGATTGAGAGCTTTATTCGTCGAAGATGTGAGAGGAGGTGGAGGGGGAGGAGATGAGGGAGACGCTGGAGATGGGGTCAAGGGATCGCTAGGGTTTATTATGTGAATGAAATTGGGGTCAGGGGATTCAATCCGAAACTTATTTCGGTTAACTGATTTAGATGGTAGAAATATGGTCACGCATCCAAATCTAATCATTAATTTATAACAAGTGTTAAATAACGCTTAACATAAGGCGCATAAAACATGTTTTTTTGTGTTGTTTTCTGTATTAAATGCAACATGGGTTTTCTGGCTGAGTTTCCATAACACTTTGGCTCTGTTAGGGGTTGAAATGGGTTTCAGAACGAGTGTTTTCTACATTGGACAAAGCATACTAATATATGAAGAAAAAACTACAAACCAGAAACATGCTGATTTACCAAAAAAATGTTATGTATCGTCTGAAGCATGTCATAGCAAATTATCCACAGGGTAGTAACTCCTTCCAAAAAGCCTACAGCAAGGTTTGAAAAATATTTCCAATACAGTTAGGTTAAGTAACAGGTGTAACGTATCAGATTGTAAGCACAATGACGCGATTCAACCGAAACCGGCGGATATCATCGACATTGGCTAATAACAACTGATGCAGATTGATATTTGTCTTGTCGATATGGCCAATACAGGAGGACGTATGAGAGGCTGAATGGCTTAGATTCCTAGCTCCATGCATCTACGTGCATACATAAAACTGAAATTAAACCATGTTAAAATGGGGGAAATAAAGTTTAATAGCATATTCCTAAAGTGTGTCACTGAACAAATAAAAGAACATTGTGACTACAAGGCCCTACTGCTAGTTCAACTGGGTAATATCTCCTAGCCACATAATAATCAGAAAAGAAAAGTAAATCAATTAAACCATTTATATTTATCCATTCCATAGAACTGCATTATTTAAAGTCTCAGTGCAGGAAGTGACGAACTTCTGATGAAACATATATGATACCTGGAGATCTCTAATAAGCCCTTCCAATAAAGTCCGTCCACAATAAGGAAGCATTGCAGCAGGAAGGCATTCACCTGTTCCACCGTCAACTAACCCAAGCCTATCCCCAGCACCACCAAGAGGATAAATTTCACCAAGTTCAGGCAAACCCTAGATGGCAATGGAAAATATTCTAATAGATCTTAAAGATAAGGCTTAAATCCATAAAAGGATGATTGTCTCGTTTAGAAAGACAATAAAATCAAACTGAAAATACTTAGGATATGGAGTAAAACCTCAATTCCCCATAACGCTGCTTGAGATGCATATTCTGCGTCATCTAAAAGATTGTGTCCAGACGGCACATGAAATTTCACAAATTCACTGGCCGGATATTTGTAAAGGTGAGGAGACCAATCGGACTGCCTTTCTATTTTTGGAGGTGAGAGAAGCTCCAGTACCGTTATCTGATATCTGGAAAAAAAAAAAGTATTCATTTGATTTGCATGTCGCCTCTAGGGCTTAAATTTGTTTTGAGATTATGTAAAATCATAAAATGTGATTCACCACAAAAGTTGCTTTAAGAAATAATTTACGCCAAATGAGCCCTTTGGCATGGATACGAGCACAAATCAGGCTAGTGAGCCTGCACTAAACTGTATCTGAATTGGAATCATCTCAATTGATCAAGGATCTATGTCTGCATATGGCACATAATGGCAATTTGTTAAGTGGGGACACTGTAGGAAAGGCAACCATTAAAGATCTATGTTGACTAAAAGATATTAAATGCGAAGATACTATATCTACACCCACTGTATGATACTATATCTACACCCACTGTATGAGACTAAACTTGCAGAACGTGGAATTACATTGGAGAGTACTTCAATGCCTAATCACAATACAATTTCAACAAGCAACAATATTAGCAAAGAAAGAAGTTAAAAAGGCGCGCCCAATAATCCCACCAACGCAATAACAGAACAATCACTAAGGAATTGTATTAAATTAAATCTTTCGAGGATCAAATCAAACACCTCCAGTTAACATAAATATTATATCTGGGCAATGCAAATATGCAAAGAAATCACATGCTATGCAATGGGTTCAAAAAGCAGAATCTGCAAGTTTCCAACTTTTAACTGACGAATTTAACAGGGAAACTTCATCTAATTCAACCACTTAATTGTCACCACAAGCAATAATACCTAGCAAAGAAAGAAATTACAGTTAAAGCGACCCACCCAATGATTCCACCAATGCAATCATAGAACTGCTCAACCTCCCCCAAGGTCTTCAAAAGGTTCCTCATTTCCTCATCCCCTCCGCTCTCTGGCCGAGCTCGCTCCCCATCCAAGCTCCAGCCCTCCACCATATCCCCCAAAACCCGCATCGCCCTCTTCAGCACGCCGCCCTCAGTTAGCCCCCCGTGCTCCGCCACCGCACCAAGCACGTGCTCCTGGCCGGCGGCAATCAAGCACTTGATCAAAACAACCTCCGACCTCTCCAGCTTCCCCAAAACCCTAGAAACCCACCCCTTCCTCGATCCCAAGAAATCCCTAACCCTAGCTTCAGAATCAAGGACCAAAACCTTCTCTTCCAGAGTTTCGGCGCCTCTCAGCTTCGATCGGAGAGAATCGAGGCGGGTGATCTCTCCGTCGAAGTCGAACTCCGGCGACGGCGCCTGCTCTACGGGGGCGATGGAGACGGAGAGTTTCTCGATTCGAGAGGAGGAAGAAGAGGAGAGAGGGGGGGAGGAGAGAGGGAGATGGGGGGTGAGGAGGCGGAGCTTGTGAGGGCGAGGGGAGAGAAAGAAGAGGGAGGGGGAGGAGAGAGGGCGAGGAGAGAGAAGGGAGGAGATCGAGGAGGAGGACGCCATGAGAGAGAGAGAGGGAGGAGAGGGAAAGGTTTTAAATGGAGAGGGAGAGGATAAGAGATGCTGATCGCTGGGTATTAACGCTGATGAGCATATGCTTTTTGGAGCGAAAATGGGATTCCGCCGGGTCAGTTTGGATCCGCGTCGCGTACTGCCGCGCACATCAATACTCCCACCAGGTATTTTTTTTATTTATTTATTACGGTGATAATATAATATATTCTAGGAAAAATTGCTTCAAGGCCCCAAAATTGAAAATACAATGTGGCCCAGCCCCCTGTAGTTTGGCCTATGTTGCTAAGCCCTTAAATTTTCAAAAAATTGTAACTGAGCCCTAAAAGCTGTTTTCACACCTGTATTTGCACCCAGCCTCCCTAAAATACCCCCGCCTTCAACTCTGTGCCTCGAAAACGAGATCCGATCGCTGGCGAAACCTCTCCGTCGCATTTAAGGCGAGATGATGGCCGTTTTGGGGGGAAATTTTGGCGCGCTCCCTCCGTTATATATCCTGTTAACCCACTCGGCTTTGAAGAGAGTGTATTTATGGTGCAAAGGGCAGATCTTTGCGGTTAGGGCTTATGATCTTCAGCCCCCTACTTGTCCTAAAGTGCCCTTCATAACTCCTCTTAAATCCCCTTCATTTATGGCGGAGAGCCCCCTTATTTGCATGGTTTCCTTGGGTGAGAGAGCAGTGTTCTCAAGGGTAACTTCTGCAACCTCTTTTTTTGAGTTTAAGTTCGACGTGGCTGAGAGGTTGAAGGTTCCTTATGATGCGCTATCAATGGTTTATAAATCTGAAAGGATCCCTGATCTGAGTTTTGAGATCGAGAATGAGGATGATATGGAGTGTATGGTGGAGCACAACCGTAATATCGGGTGTCTGGAGATCCATATTCGAGCTAATATAGATGTGGATGTTTCCAGATGTGAGAACACCCCGAAGCAACCTCCTGAAATGTAAGTTATATTTACACTTAATTTATTTGAAAACTTATGAATTGCGTGAGTAAAATGTGGAGAAATGATAACATAGCGAGTTGTTTCAGGTTAAATGTTAGCTTTTAACTGATATATGTTAACTTTCTACCGAAGGTTGTTAAGCTTTAGGGCATATTTGTTAACTCTTAAGGGTACTGCATTATTTAAGTACAAGTCCTATTTGTTATTTTAAGAAAAACCAATTATATTTGTGCAGCATTATGAATACACTGAAGCCAAAGTTTATTGATAGTACTTCTGCCGCAAACCATGGTTCTGAAAGAATTCCAATTGATAATCCCAGTGGTAGCAGTGTAGTGCGTTCTGATGACATTATTAACAACACAGTAATGATTCCTGGTTGGTGGCATAATGCATTAACTGAAGAGGGTCAAGAATTTGAAAGTGCTGAAGAATTAAGGTTGGCGCTGACATACTATTCTCTGGCCAAAATGTTTGATTATGAGTTTAAAAAGAACGAACCAAAACGTATCCGTGTATATTGCCGATATAAAGAAACTTACGAGTGCCCATGGATGTTGTTTGCTTCACCTGTTAAGGGGAGTTACCGAACTATAGTGCAACGCTAAATTTTTATTCAATCTAACTTCGACATAATGTAAATGGTCATGACGAACAATTGGCAATATGAGTATTGATCGGCCAGCGGTAATATGTTGTTGTATATAAAGTTCATATAGTTCATATAGCCGCAGATGAGCCTGGTCTCCATAGAGTGAATGTTGTTACACAAAATTAACACATTAAGAAATAGCGGCCTTCAATATGTGAACATGATTCAAGTTCATATAGTTAACTTTTTTGGAAAACATGTTAACTCTTGTGGGATACATGTTAACTCTTGTGGAGAACATGTTAACTCTTGTTGAGAACATGTTAACTCTTGTGGGATACATGTTAACTCTTGTGGAGAACATGTTAACTCTTGTTGAGAACATGTTAACTCTTGTAGAAAACATGTTAACTCTTGTGGAAAACATGTTAGCTTTTGTTTAAAACATGTCAACCCTTGTTGCTAACATGTTAACTCTTGTAGATAACATGTGAACTTTTGTGGCTATATGTTAACTCTGATAGATAACATGTTAACTTTTGTGGAAAAAATGTTAACTTTTGTGGATAACATGTTAACTATTCGGGTTAACATGTTAAATATAAGAGCTTATCTGTTAACTAATTATATGAGGATTGGTCTTACGCAGAAATATGTAGATACAATCCCGTACTGCTTGTTTAATTCAGCGTTCTCTGGCAACTGCAGCCATAGCCGTAATCTGTCTAAGAGTGCCTCTGTTACTTTATCATCAAGTCTTCCCCCGCGGATCATATACAGTAGATCCGGGTATGTAATTGCGCTGTTATCAGTAGTTATGACATATACGTACCTTAACAAGAAATAAGTTACGGAGGGTTAAAATTTAAAACATGAAAAGTAACATCTAAACGCAAAAACATAACAAGCAAAAAACACAGTTTCACATTTAATATTAAAGAGTTAGCATTAAATTACTTAACATATTAACTGTCGTGGATAACATGTTAACACTTGTTGCTAACGTGTTAACTCTTGTGGATAACATGTTAACTCTTGTCGCTAACCTGTTAAGTCTTGTGGATAACATGTTAACTATTGTTGCTAACATGTTAACTCTTGTTGTTAACATGTTAACACTCGTGGTTAACATGTTAACCCTTGTTGCTTAAATTTAAACGTGAAAGCTTTACATTTTGAAATCAGCACTTACGGGCTACATTTCTCCTTGCAGTACTGCTCGAGCCATTTGTTCTCCTCAGCTGAGAGTTTCTCTGCAACATTTTTTGGTATTCTGTAGTTATGTACAAAAGCCCCAGCGCTATCTAACACTCGTAAGCTAAACGTGCCTACATCAGGGATACCCTCATTCACCTCTTTTAAGGCAGCACGATCCACATCTGTTAAATACGTGCTTTTTAGCACATCCCACTTGCCAACACTGTCGTCATGGTAAACTGTTATTTTCTTTGGGGTGTCACCAACAACAATGGGTTCATCTTTGTGCTCACCATCTTTTAACTTCAATCCCTTAGCCCTCGGTTTCTTATCCTCAGTAAATGGTGTCCTAACCAGTTTACCTTTCTTGGTTGCTCTTTTGCTTGGAGCTCTACTCCTATAACCCACATATTTTTTGCTCACCGGCTTCCTCGGCCTCTTCGATCCTTCGCTGAGTGGAACTCTCTCAACCACACCTTCCTCCTCCTGCACCATCTGCTTGTCCTCCTCATCCTTGATCACCTCGTCTCTCTCTTCGCTCTTGCCCATTTCCTCGACAACTTCATTCTTGGTAACATCGTCTCTCTCTCCTTTCGAGCCCTCTTCATCCTCAACCATCTGCTTGTCCTCCTCATCCTTGGTCACTTCTTCTCTCTCTTCGTTCTTGCCCATTTCCTCGACACCTTCATTCATGGTGACGTCGTCTCTCTCTCCATAGTTGTCCTCTTCTTCTTCTTCCACTGTAGGGTTTCCTTTCAGCTGCTGTGCAATAAGCTTCTTCACATTGTTCTTTAAAATCAAGGGATCTACTATGTCACAAGATTCGTCCAACCCCTTAACCTTTTCGTTAAGTCTACGAATCTCGTCCATGAAAGTTTGACAATACAATTTCTTCGAGACCCTCAGTGTACGGCAAAGTCTCTGGTTTACTTTAGCAGCATTTCTCCAAAATTGCAGTTGCTCCTCAACCGGTAACGTTTCAATCTCATCTTCCCTTTCGAAAGCCTCATCAATGGCTTTTGACATTATCTATAATTTAGAAATAACAAAGAGTTAAAATCAAGTTTATAAAGGTTAATAGTAAGTGGTCCACAATTGACACAGATAATTAAAGGTTCTTCAATCATCTATAGGTAACATGTTAACTCTTGCTGCTAACATGTTAACTCTCTCTGGTAACATGTTAACTCTTGTAGCTAACATGTTAACTCTTGTGATAATATGTTAACTCTTATTGAAACATGTTAACTTTTGTTGCTAATATGTTAACTCTTGTTGCTGACATGTTAACTCTTGTGCAAACATGTTAACTCTTGTAGAAAACATGTTATCTATTGTTGCTAACATGTTAACTGTTGTAGAAAACATGTTATCTATTGTTGCTAACATGTTATGTATTCTTGTGATAATATTTAGCACCTTAGAACTTACCAAACCTATTGACCATCTCTTCTCATGTTCCTTCTCTTCTTCCTTCTTTTCAACCTTCTTTTCTTCTTCAATCTTCCTCTTCCTTACTGCTGCTTTCTTGGCCTCCCTATGTACGACTGGTAATTGTGGTACAATCCCTTCCCTTCTAAGCCTCATCAATGGCCTTCTGATTGGATATTTCTCATCGGATGGGCCAATTTCAGCTATTGGTTTTTGTACAACCTGGATGCTAGCTTTTGCAGCCTTGGCAACTATTGTTCTATTTCTAAAAGATCCATACTTCTCACCAATCTTCACCCAGTTAGTGAGGGGTGGTTTGGATCTATTGCTCAAGGCATATCTTTTAATCCCCGTCATTTCATAATACCATAGCTGCAAACAATTAATACATGTTAGTATGCAATACTAATCTTTTAAACATGAATATAGTTAACAGAACTCATCTTGCAATATAGTTAACACTGACAACACCAACTTTAATACTGGAAACACTAAAGTTAACATGAACCGAAATATAGTTAACAAGATCCTTAGAATAGTTAACATGAACCAGTAAGGCTTAATGGTTTCTTGACGTAAGTTGACAGAATACAAGCAAGCGTTCACATGCACAGATTAATCCAACTTACAGGGATCAAAGGCATGCATCCAGGTACATAGCTTATTCCTGACCTGTGCAGACCTTCCCTGGCAATCTTAATTCCTTTCTTCGTCTGATCATAGATGTATTTCCCCCAGGCCACATTCCTCACTCTTTCAATTGAATCAACATATTTGAACAAGAGCCTTGGGATGCCTTGGACACTGCTAGGGCACCACATCA